GAACTGAGAATTACAGAATAGTAGAAGGAGTGATTACGATCAGCCAAGCTTTTGACCTTGTCTTCTCACCTTCTTTTTCCTATTCTTACAGTTTTCAGGTGATATCAGTCCAAAGATTGGGCAGATCTTGGAAGCCAAATGGTGGTAGACTAGATGCAATTGGCTCAGTATTGTGGAAGCCTGGATTATAATAAATCCCAGCTACACATTCTTATTAGAATAACAGAGGAAACTGTAAAAAGAGGATGAAGATGATAAAATATATAAATACTTCCTCAAAGTTAATCTCTTTTTCTATATTTGATTTTTATTAAACAGCTTGTCAATCCATTTTTTTCCTTGACTGCCTTTGATTTTTAGAATAGAATAGACTATTTCAGTTGGAAGGGATTTACAATGATCATTTAGTCCAGCTGCCTGAGTTGTCTGCAGTTGCAAAGAAATCGATTCTGTGATTGCTTTGTGTGCTTCCACTCTTGTGCTCTACGTAAGCTCCTTGGTTTTAGGTGTCTTTATTGTTTCAGAATACTGAAACTGCACAATTGCAAATTAATTTCAAATGGAGAGGTATATATTGTCACATATAATTAACTTTTCTCTCTGGTCTGATTAACATATCTCTACAAGTTCAGTAAAGTTTTTCAGCTTATGCAGCTGCATTGCCTATAGGTTTTTCTTCACCATCAGGTGCTAGCTGTTTTCTGTTCCTCATTCCATATGTACATGTCCTGTTAAGGTGTGCACGTAGTACAGTTGTGCTCTGAAGTTTTACTCTTTTTTTTTTTCCTTAATATTAATCTTTGTTTAATAAAAATTACAGCAACTGAAGTTGTTACACTGCCTTAGTGGAGCTTTCCAGTTCCTTACATTTTGGGTAAATCAATTTTAATTTGATCTTTTGGCATTGGTTCAGATGCTTAGGAATGTTTGACCTTATGGAACAAGCTTATAGATGGGGATATGCTAAATATCTGAATAAAGAAGTGGTCTTCATACAAAATCCGTAGGCTACGTTCCAGCATACAGAGTTCCCTTCTCTCACAAACACCTCTGTTCAAAATTTGGTTACTTGGCTAAGATAATGAAACCCTCTGAGAAGGAAGGAAAATATTTCATAGCAATTTTTTGGAGTTTTGTTAAACTGTGTTGCGCTTCTTAAAGAACAGTAGTTGTGTGAATAATTTTAGGCAAAAGGTATAGTTCTTTTGTCTCTTGATTGCAGTCTTTTAAACACAGAATGCTAACAATTTTTTTCATACATTAAGGCTCTCTTTGTAGCCTCCAAGCTGAAGATGTTTGATCATCTGAAAGATAAAGGCCCACTGAAGGCTGTGGATCTTGCAAATGAGGTTGGAACCTCTGTGTGTGGAATAGAAAGACTCCTTGATGCATGTGCTGCTCTTGGATTACTGGAGAAAACACCAGAAGGTGACTAACTTCTCCACCTCAACTGCATATAGTACTGAAAGACATGCAGGACTGGAAGAGGTTATTTGAAGGTCACAGGGTCTGACTTGATTTTGTGTGTAACTTGGATTTGAGGGAAAGGGGAATGGATTTTTGCTTCTTTGCTTTCATTATTAGTAGCTGGAATTGTTTCATTTGGGGGCAAGCTTTATCTAATGAACACATTCAGGTCTTCTTTGAGGAATCCTTAGATTGCTTTTGCTCTGTGGACATAGTACTGACCAAATTTCTAAGCAAAAGTTATGTGGGCAGTCCCAGGGAGAAACCGAATAGCTTGGATGTATCATCTGCACTTGAGGCATGACAACCCCATGCAACCCTGCAGGCTTGGGTAAGAGTGGCTGGAAAGCTGCCTGGTGGAAAAGGACCTGGGGTTCTTAGTCGACAGCTGGCTGAATATAAGCCGCAGTGTGCCCAGGTGGTGGAGAAGGCCAACAGCATCCTGGCTTGTATCAGAAATAGTGTGGCCAGCAGGACTAGGGAAGTGATTGTTCCCCTGTACTTGGCACTGGTGAGGCTGCACCTAAAATGCTGTGTTCAGTTTTGGGCCCCTCACTACAAGAAACAGCTCAACATGAGCTGGCAATGTGCACTTGCAGCCAGAAAGCCAACTGTATCCTGGGCTGCATCAAGACAAGCGTGACCAGCAGGTCCAGGGAGGTGTTCCTCCTCCTCTGTTCTGCTCTCATGAGACCCCACCTGGAGTATTGCATCCAGCTCTGGAGCCCCCAGCATAAAAAAGATGTGGACCTGTTGGAGCGGGTTCAGAGGAGAGCCACAAAGATGATCAGAGGCCTGGAGCACCTCCAATACAAAGACCTCATGTTTTCTGCCATTTTAAACTTTCCTTTGGTAAGGCAGAGGAATGCAATCCCTGCTGGAGGAATTAACTTCTCCCATAGCTAGGGCATTTTCCTGATACACTTTCATCTGACTGTTACCATTCATGAGCAAGACTGTCATTTTGGTGGATGCCTTCATTAATCAGTGCTCAAAGAAGAAAACTCAGTAGTAGGAATTATTAGAAGGAATAAAGAATCATCATTATGCTAAACCCATCCCTGGAGGTGTTCAAGGCCAGGTTGAATGGGGCTTTGAGCAACCTGGTCTAGTGGAAGGTGTCCTTGCCCATGGCAGGGGGGTTGGCACTAGGTGATCTTTAAGGTCTCTTCCAACCTAAACCATTCTGTGACTCTGAAGAAAGACATTGAGGTGCTGCAGTGTGTCCAAAGAATGGCAACAAAGCTGGAGAAAGGTCTATAGAGATCAAGTGTTATGAGGAGCGACTGAGGGAACTGAGGTTGTTTAGCCTGAAGAAAAGGAGGCTGAGGAGAGACCTTATTGTTCCCTACAACTACCTGAAAGGAGGTTGTAGTGAGGTGGGTGTAGGTCTCTTTTCTCAAGTAACAAGTGATAGGACAAGAGGAAACAGCCTCATGTTATGCCAGGGGAGTTTTAGATCTGATATTAGGAAAAATTTCTTCACTGAAAGGGTTGTCAAGCATTGGAACAGGCTGTCCAGGGAAGTGGTGGAGTCTTCATCCCCAGAGGTATTTAAAAGACATGTAGACATGACAGTTAGGGACATGGTTTAGTGGTGCACTTGGCAGTGTTGGGTTTACGGTTGGACTCAATGATCTTAACGGTCTTTTCCAACCTAAATGATTCTAAGAGTGTATCTAAAAATAAGGAACAAATTCCATTCCCTGCTGCAGCAATGCAGAGTCACAATCTTCAGCAGAGAATCAGTGTTTTAATGAGAGGAGCTCTGCAGTGTGTCCCTCTTCATGGACAGCAGCTTAAATTTTAGCACCCCTAACTGGAACAGTGCTTGAAGTTGTATGTAGGTGAGGGAGTCAGTATTAACTTTTCAGTCTGCACTATGTAGTTAAACTTTCCGTATGCATTATTTACATAGTAAGACTTAAAATGACGAAGTGCCAAGAAAAGGAAATAAAGGGGGCTTTCAGCTCTGTTAGAGGACATGACCAAGGAGAAAGCCCTAAAGGCAAAACATACTGGAGAAGGCTTGAATTTAAGGGAAGGAAGGAGAAGCTGTAATCTAAAGAAAAATGCAGAACTTCAAATGCTCTCCTTTGAATACCAGATGTATAACTGATGTACTCTGGTTTAAAAAAAACAAAAACAAAACCAAAAAAAAACTAATCCCACAAACCACAGTGCCTATCTATATCCTCTGTCATTTAATTTCTTTTTATAAATAAAGTAGCTACTCCTCTAAGAATGAAAACACCTTTAGAATTATTTCATAGAAATCTTTACATAAAAAATAATATGATCCTAAGATCAGGATTTGATAGCTGTTCAACAGCTACGCATGAAAACATGCCTTCAGATTTCGAATTACAGTTGCAAAGTCCTGAAACAAAGCTGGTTACAATTGTTTTCTTCCCATAAGGTTACAGTAATACAGATTCAGCAAATACCTACCTGACCTCAGATGGTGAATACTCGCTTCATGGATACATTATCCACTCCAATGACCACCTTTGGCCTCTCTTCACACACTTGGAGTCTGCTGTCAAAGAAGGCAGCAGGCAGAACCATCGAGCCTTTGGAAATAAAGCAGAGGATTTATTTAAGGTAGTGTAAACTCTTATTAGTATCAAGACTTGCTGTGAAGAGTCGAGAAGTGATCTAGGGGCAAATGGAAACTGAGCTTGCAATGCAACTTGTTAGTCTCATACTTGTGTTCCCTTCAAGTTTAGGCTCTAAAGTGCTACAGCAATCACAGAATATACTGGGAAATTCAAGTGCTGACGAAAATTCTCTGGATAAAGTGATCTCCATCCACATAACACACACTCAGAACAACCTCTGGGCCTGTTTAATTTATATTTATATGGCCTTTTTCTAACACCAGGTAGTACCTTATCACACATCCACTCCTTCCATATTGGATGCCAGTCACTTGGTACTGATGTGCATCCAGTTCAATCTGTGCTGTTTCTGTAATCAAAGGTGTTTTCAAAGTTGCTTTGTGTTGATGCAGTGGAGAAAAGATCCAGTCTCTTTTATGAAGGTTTTTAGTTTTGTATACGCTGGTATATATTACTGATAAGAATTCTAATCCTTTCTTCCATCTGCTTCCATCTCTGTCGCATTCCTTTTCCAATGCTAGCCCAGGTGGATGTGTTCAGATTGGAGAATCACTTAAGAGTTATAATTAGCCTAACTTGTCAGTTATCCACCTAGTGAAGCAGGTTGGGGAGCATAAAATTTGTGCCTGCTTAAGGAGAGGGGTAGTAGAGTGAGCAGGAGAATACTTCAAGACTCATCGCTGACAGCAGTGCTGGCTTAAAGTGTACTTGAGACTACATCCTGAAGTTCTTAATTTGGATTTAACTTCTAGATGCTGATGAAGCCAGTCTCCTATAGGAGATGTCTACATCCCTCATATACAGTTGATGGAAGGAAACAAGGGCTTTAAGAGACTTAAGAAGGTCCTGTTAGCCTAATGTTAGTACCTAGATTACTGGTGGACAGAACCTCCTTTAGGTTCTTATCCGGTGTGGCCAGTTCTGGGCCCCTCAGTTCAAGAGGGACAGGGAACTGCTGGAGAGAGTCCAGTGCAGAGCCACAAAGATGATTAAGGGAATGGAGCATCTCCCTTATGAGGAAAGGCTGAGGGAGCTGGGTCTCTTTAGCCTGGAAAAGAGGAGACTGAGGGGTGACCTAATCAATGTTTATAAATATGTAAAGGGTGAGTGTCAGGAGGATGGAGCCAGGCTCTTTTCTGTGACATCCAGTGATAGGACAAGGGGCAATGGGTTCAAGTTGGAACATAGGAGGTTCCACTTGAATATGAGAAAAAACTTCTTTACAGTGAGGGTGACAGAGCACTGGAACAGGCTGCCCAGAGAGGTTGTGGAGTCTCCTTCTCTGGAGACATTCAAAGCCCGCCTGGATGCGTTCCTGTGTGATCTGATCTAGGTGTTCCTGCTCCGGCAGGGGGATTGGACTAGATGATCTTTCGAGGTCCCTTCCAATCTCTAGCATTCTGTGATTCGTCCTTTAAACATCTGGATTACCAACTTGAGTTTGCTTGGGTGATGCTTGTGGCAGGAATCACTACCAGTTCAGGTCTGGGCTCCATATGTGTACAGGATAGTATGGCCAGGCAGAATATATGGGCTGCCTATGGCACTATGCATACCACAGCCTGGACATACTTCCACTCCATGGTAGCTGTAAAACCAGATATAACTGGTGCAATCTGTATGAAAGTGAGACATTAAGGGATTCATGTTTATGTGTAATTTCAAAGGTAAAGGCATGAGGTTCTGGTACTGATCCAGAACTAAAGCTTGCTTCTCATCTAATAAAAAAATCCAGTATGAGCTTTAATGTTTCTGGTTTAAGCTATGGTCCAATGATCTAGTTATTTTCCCATCATGGAAAAATAAATGTCAGAATTAAATGAAAGTGATTTGCGAGTATATCAAGAAGATGGAACACTTTAGGAGACTGAAAGAAGAAAATCAATCAGTCCTTTTAAACAGTTCAGAGTCTGAAGACATCTTGCTGTGGAGCAAATGTGTTAGTAAATATATATCAAAGGCACAGTATTTCTTTAAAAAGCACTTTTCAGATTATCCCTTCTTCCTGCTATGCAGCCCCAGCTTCAGTGGCCAGAAGTGTTGAATTTAACAGCCCTTGGGACATCACCAAGACCAGGTTCAAACCAGCCAAGTGTATGTCCTTAGACACACTGAAAAAGATGTCTGTGTGATGAGAATTTTGGAGAGGATGGAAAAATCTGCTTAACACTACAGTGAAACAGTAAAGGATTTGGATGAGCAACTAGTCGATGGCACTTTTAACTGATCTTTTAATTTTAGAATTCTGAGGTTAATGGTGTGCACCTGCTGCCTTGATTGTACACTGTTTTAGCTAAGCCATGAAAATAAACTTTAGTTACTGTGCTTTTTTCCCTTTTTAGGACTATTATCACAGCCAGGAGGTAAAGCAACGTTTTATGGCTGCCATGCACAGCATTGCCCACCTGACAGCAAGAGATGTGGCTACAGCATTTGATCTTTCAAAGTTCAAATCTGCTTGTGATTTAGGAGGTATTGCCTGTAATTGAACTGGTATACATATTAAAGGGAAAAGCTTTCAGTTCCATATTTTATTACTTAAAACTTACGTATTTTTTTTTTCTAGAACTGCAGTAATATTGTCTACTGTTGTTTTTCTGGTATTGTAATGTCAGAATAAAAGGGCTGAGTGCAGTTAACTGAAAGCAGTGTAATTTAAATAGTATCTGCATAGTTTGAAATAAGTGAATGTTTGTCACAGTCAGTTACATACTGATACATAGCTCAGCACAGAAAACAAGATGGTTTGTGGCTCAGCTGATAGAATATTGATCTGGGAGCTCCATTTTCAACTGTGCTGCTGCTGTCCTTTGGCATTTCCAAGATTTTCAAAAGTAATGAAGGATTTATTTCTGAATCCTTCTATACTGGGGTGTCAAACTTGAAACACTGCACTGCTAGAACACAAAGTCTGGCTTCTTTTACAATGGATTTAAGTGTTTTGTATGTTGTTTTAATTATTAATATCTAAGATGACCACCAAAATGGTGAAGACCAATGATACACCTGAAGAAACTCTTCTTGTTAGTGTCCTTTTCATACTCTCTGCTAGGAGTTGCACAGAGGAGGTGTTATTA